AGAGGGAAAAAGCAGCTGTGAGCCCAGGATGCCGAACACCTCTTGGTCCTTCTGTGGGGGTGCATCTGCACAGCTATTGGCGGCGTCTCCTGAGGGAGGTGGCACTGAGGATGGGGAGCTCCTTCAGTTCACCCAATGGAAGGAGACAAGATGGCTCAGTCCCACAGAGAGGTGACACTGTGGGCCTCCCAGGTGCTGCAAACTCAGCCCCGATGGCCAAAGGGGTGGCACCACCCAGCTGAACGCCAGTCCTCCAAAAGGAGGGCAAGTCAGGTCCAGCTCTGGCCACCAGCCATGGCTAAACCTGGCTCTGAGGTGGGAGGCTGGGGTGAAGCCCCAGGCCTGGCCTCTGGGTGTACTGCAAAGGCACTGAGCCCCATGGTGGGGAAGGGAGGGCCAGAAACTGTGGCCACAACCATGCGGCCGTCTGTTTGTCCAATCTGCTGAGAATGAATATTTAGAGGGGTGAGAAAGTGGGAGGAACCCCCAAGATCAAGCTGGCTGCAGGAGAACCCTGCATGAGGACATCCCATGACCCACCGTGGTATCAGCTGTGATCCCTGTGGAAGGGCCAGCCCTAGGAGAACATTCAAGGGCTGACCTCTGCTCAGCAAAACAGAGGTGGAAAAACCTCAGCTTTCCCTGTACACTGAAAAGAGCAAATCCAGGAATGACATCCAAACCACACATCTGGTGACTGTCACCACGCCCGTCAGCCTCAGCCCTACCTCACCATGCCTTCTGCAGCGTGAGCAACGGACACATCGTCGGATGGGTCTCCCAGGTTGCTAGCTAGACTCAGGGCTATTTTTAACGTCTAAATTGAACACACAAAGAAAGACAGAAAAACATGTAAGTGGCCCTGGAAATACAACTTATGATACTCCAAACAGGGAGAGGTATCTGGTCTCCTGGCATGTTGGCTAAAGCCTATGAAGAAAAATGTCTAAAAGCCTGGTCCTGGGAACACCTCAGCGCAAAGGGCTGCCAGACATGCGAATGGGGGACCAAAGCGGGGGACCAAAGGGCATCACTCTGGCACGGCAAACTGCGCGCTGGGTGTATCCAGCATTGTTTGTACAAGGTGGAACGTGCCTGGCAGGAGCTGGCTCAGCCCAGCACAGTGGTTCAGCTACAATCCCAGGTGGCAGACAAGGTCACCAGGATGCTTTCTTTTTCCATTCCTGAGCAGTCACCACAACAGCAGAGATCACACTGAATCCCAGTGGGACAGTGGGCCCTGGGCTCACCCTTGCCCCTGGACAGCAGCTCCATGGCACAGCATCGCTGCCCAGCAGAAATGAGCTCCTCTGCTCCCCAGCTGCTCCCCATGTCCCTAGCTTAAGTCATCCCAAGTTTCTGAACAGAAAGCGTTAGTCCCAGCACGCTGAGGGGAATGATAGCTTAAAAAGAGGAAGGGATCTGGTTTCTCATACATGCAGAATCCTGCCTAAGCCAAGTCCATTACAAATGGGAAGACAGGGTTTATCCAGTCCTGGTTTTACAGCGCGTAGCCAGAGGATGGCCACATGGAGAAATGTGCCCTTCAGTCAAGCCAGCCTGTGCCTCCAGAAATGCACTAGACCTTCGGCTGGTGGGCCGTGCTGTTTTCATTCAAGATTCGGGACATTACCCCGCAGGGAGATAGCTGGATATGACTTCTGTTTGGATATGTGCCACGCATCAACAACTTCTCCTGAAGTGTCATCATTTACCTTCTGATGTACCGAGTAGAACACGATTAACTTCTGGAGAAGGTGGCATTTCCATGAAACGGTCTCCTGACCACCACACCGTGCGGAGGATGTACAAGAGGCTTGGTGGCCAAGGAAACAAGCAGGCCACCTCCACCCCACGGGCACAGGTTAAGGGCATCTTGGGCATGGCCACCCCAGGGCTGCACTACCTGGTGCTGACCTAGCACTGAATCTCAGCCATGTGTTCAGCCATGTGATCCCAAGTAATCAGGGTTACACATCTTCTGAAGCGACTGCCCTTTAGCTGGAGGTTGCTGTTCCTCAGCTGGGACGTGATAACCAGTGGGTGAAACTCCTGGCCTGCAGCAAACACAGAGCAAATGCATTCATCCAAAGCTTCCTGAAGAGAGCTCAAAAATAACTTAGGGCAGTCAACCTGCTCTGCCTTGGCACAAGCCTAGCACCGTGTAACACCTCCAGCGGCTGCATCCTTGCCGAGAGGCAGTAACTTCCAAGCACTCACTGTTGTGTCTGCTGCAAGGATGTGGTTACATCCTCACTTAAAATGCCCAACTCCTAAAACCCAGCTGTGGATCTGTTAAGCCTCTAAGAACACAACTCTGCTTACAGAGCAGGGAATGGAGCATTTGCTTGACTTCCCAGGAAGCCACAATGCTTTGGTAGAGCTGACAGCCCTAAGTACTGGAAAAATCATGATCTGGATGACTGAGATTATGAGGTGGGCTAAAATGTAAAGATTTAAAAAAAAATATGAAGTGCTGGGTCAGTTTTCCTTGCCATTGCCATGTGTAGGTGTTTGCTCGCAGCATCCCATTGCTGACTCCTCGCTGTGCCCCAGCAGTGCTCTGGTATGGCCAGGGCCAGGGGAGCATAAGAGGTGGAGGAAATAGATGGTACCGCCCTCAGCTGCCGTGGGGCCATTTGGAAGAGACAATCATGTGCAAGAAATGGGCAAAAGCCAGTTTGTTCTTATGAAAAAGCTCTGCCTAAGCAAGAAAGAGCTCAGCTGAGCAGGAGGCTCCCGCACCCGCCTGAAGCAGCGGCACAGCTCAGATCTACACCTCAGCAGTCTCTCTGCTCATTCTCCTCTGGGAATTAGCTACAGACATTCTTGTACAGCCAAGGAATAAATGAATGCTTCTCCAGCAGGACAAGAAATTCAGCCACCTCCTCTTACCTCTGCCATCCAGTGCAAGACATTCCCCCTGGACACGTGACTTGTGATGTTAAAGCCCTCAAGGATGTTCAGTGCTGTCATCAGTGCAGGACCAGCGTGTGGAGGCGGGGGACTGAGAATGAGGTGCCCTGTGGAGGGAAGAAGAGAGGAATGAAGCTGCTCTTGTCAGACACCGTCCAGTTATGGTATTTCTCCATAAGCCAGTGACCGTGAGGACAGGGAAGCCCTTCCAGATTCAAGGGGAAATAATGGAAAGCAAGGCGATTTGAAAAGGATTTCCCAAAACATTCCTGTTGTATCCTTCTGTTTCTCTACAGCAGGTGAAGTAAGCCCACATAGGGACTTTTTACACCTGAAATCCAGTTCTTGTTGGTTGCCTGGTTGGTTTCAGGACTGCAGCACGGAAGAATGGAGATAAAATGGGTTTGCAACATTACAGCTGGAAGGAGTAAATACAGGCATTTCCAGAAAAGAATGGCATCTTAGAAACTTTTTGCACAAAGTTTTTCTCCTTGTAGCTCAACTTTGGGAACTGCCTGCAGACATGGGCGCTAGCCTACAGCCCAGCTTCCATCCAGACATTGCATTGACAGGTGATCACTTTGCACCACCCCACTCTAACACTATCAAAATACCGTTGCTCACTATCAAGGAAAAACCAGGCCCATTTCAAGTGCTGAAAACCTCCTGAACTGCCTATGGTGCGTCGGTGTAGGCAGACCATGGCCCCAGCGGGCTTTCCTGCAGACGCCTCAGCGCAGCTTTGACTTCCACTCTTGTTAAATACTGTCGCCACGTCTTGCCAGGTGGAGCAAACTCTTAACCAGAATGGCATGGCAGCGAGTCAGGCATTTACCTCGATAGACTGTGTGGACGGGAGTCTCCACGGTGGTGCTGTAATTGCTGAAGTCTTCCTCCACCAAGACTCCTCCGTAGTTGTGGACCTGCGCAGGAGAGCAAAGCAGTGTACTCTGAGAAAGCTGGGTCAAGGCTTTCCGAGTTCCCTGCGCTGGCCCAGGTGAACACACGCCACACTGCCAAACCAATATCACTGACATTCCCCAGCCAGGTGCCAGCTTCCTCAGGATATCCCCAAAATCCGTGCTTTTGTGGCTTTGGTGGCCTGGCTGGAAGGCTCTGCAGCTCACCTCCAAAAGCTCACCCACTCCATGGGTGCCCTGAAGATGTTCTGCCTCCCCGTGAGGATGGGGACTGGTGCTGCCTCACCGCCTTCTCTCCCCTGGGTGGCAAGCATGAGCGTGTTAAAAGGTTATGAAGCATTTGAATGCTGCCAGGATAAAAGATACATATGGATCCAGGAGAGAAGGCACCTGGGCATAGCAGGTTACCGTTGCTAGAGATCTTTAGCATACAATTCATACCCTATTTTTAATTATTTCAGGTGACAGTGGATCTGCTGTACCCTTGGTCTTTCTGTAAGACTCTCCTAGAAGTACAATTTACTGGGCTTAGTTATTTTCATTAACACAGTGAAGATGGGTAATGCCCTCCCTCCACTGCAGGTCTTCTGTGTCTGAATCATGATGGAGGTGAGGTAGGACCATCGTGACTGCACTCTGCTGATCTTAAAATCCCCAAAGTACTCAGCGTACAGGTGCTACTGCGCTCATGGGCCAGCTCCTTCCTTCCACCCAGGAGAAGCCACGTAACCTGGTGAGAGGTTCTGCTGGGCTGAGTCGCTGCTGTGGGCCCTCTGGATTTCCATCCAAAACCAGTCAAGAACAAATGATCCCTGCATGCGCTGATTTCTAAACCAGCCGGCAAACTTGGCAAGCAAATGCCTTCTCAGGCAGAAATGGATGAATCACTGGAGCAGGAAAGCCGATGCAGGGCATGCAGCGGGGGGCAGTATATCAAACCACCCCAAAGCTGCAAAAGATGTATCCCCTCCTCGGGATCCCTGCCTGCTTCCCAAAGCAGTCCCAGAGAAGAGGCCAGGCTGAGCCCAACAGCTGAGGTGAGCAGGCAGGTGCCTGTGCCAGGAGCCAGCTCCCTGGAGCTTGGCCAGCGGAAAGCCTGGGCAAAGCAGCAGGGAGCGGGGCAGGAGGAGCCTGATGGCACAGAAAGGGGAGAAGCCCTGGTCAGCCACACACTGCAAACGCCATCTCAGATTCCCCGGAGAGCGCTTTTCTGCACCTGTGTCTTCCCACCACTGGATGGAAACAAAGGGTGGGGTGTTTTGGAGCTCTGCTTGATTTCACCACATTGATGCCCTCCCTTTGCTGGAACAAACAATACCGTGGGAAGGCAGCACTTTGCTCTGCTCTGAAACCAAAGCTGGAATTGTGCACTTGAGACCAGAGCTTGCCTGGGTCTTTGGCACTGCAACACCCGGGCCTCGCTCCTCCACATGGAGTTTCTGCTTCCCTGCGGCAGCCCTCGGGTCAGGGGAATGGGGGGACAAAGCAGGGGTTCGCTGCGGGGACGCACTGCAAGCCTGGGACTTTTCCTGTGCCTTGTTCTCCAACTCTGCTGTGGTCCAGGTGCATCACAGGAGGAGATTTCCAAATACAGAGCTCACAAATGCCTAAGGCTTGAGCTGAATGAACCTGTTCCAGATTACTAATGACATGCTGAAGGCGCACCACTTGAACCATGGCAGTGGGGAAAAATGGTGCCACCAACCACCCTGACTGCAGCTACACAGGCATAAAAGCTGTTGGGGCATTTTTTTTTTTTTACCAGAATAATTACTTCGTTGTTGCTATTTTTCTCAAGAGCACCTCTAGCACCAGGAGTTGAACTAGGGTAGCCCTAAACATGACCAAGGCTGCCTGAGCCTCTGCTCATAAGGCTCACGGTTTTATTTTTAAACTGTCTTCCTGGAGTCCGTATCTTACAGTCCCATTAACAACAAAAAATGCCTCTCATCGGTGGGGCACCTCTCATTATAGGGGAAAAGGGGCTGTCACTAATACTAACACAGCTCAGAGGGGGGCTTGAAATTGAGATTATTTTTTTTTCCTTCGAAAAAAGCCGGTCCCGGTTACAGAGGAAGTGGAGGTTTCACTTCTGTAGGCTGTGGACGTGACCTGGGTGTCACTTCCACCACTGCAGTGACAGGGACAGGAAAGGAAAAGGAGGCTCCAGGCATTTGTCCCCACCATGGTGCTATGGCTTATCTTCAGGTTGTCACCTTGAGCAGGTGATGCCCCCAGTCCGGGCTGTGCCCTGCGGTGTGGGGCAGAGACAGGGACAGACACGGCTCACCTCGGAGATGATCTCCTGGGTCAGGTTTCCACTGTAGAAAGCTGACACCCCTTCTGCCCCCACCAGCTCCAGGACAGCCGCGAGGTCCAGGCGCCTGATGAACGTGCCAGGCAGCAAGGGCTGGCCGTCTGGCAGGAAGATCTCCCGAAATTTGTCAGAGCAGTTCAAATCCTTCAGTTCACTTACGGCTTTGGCTGCGGGCAAGAAGGGGAAGGGCATCCAGAAAAGTCAGGGTGCAGGAACACACAGGGGACCCGGAGTCACTGTGTGCCTGATGGGGACACTGGTGACTGGCTGCTGCCTCTCACCCTATTTCAGAACTAGAGGGAGCTGGATCATGCATCCGTTGGAGCTGGGAAGGAAACCCAAAGAAACCCCAGTGCCCTTCCCGGGCCGGCCCAGCATGGGCTGCTCTGATCTGTCCCTGACCAGCCCTGACAGCTCCAGTTTTGCTGCCACCCCTTTGCAGATCGTGGCTCACGCGTTGCTCAGCTCCCCGTACCATCCATCTCCAGGTCTGAAGAGCCTTAATTTCCCATGAAAAACCATCTATGTCCCTAGATGCCTCGCACCCAAGCGCAGCAGCCAGCGTGCTCCTCCGTACTGAGCCGCCCCCCTTGGCTCTCCATCAGGTACTCACCCAAATCGTGTGTGACATTAAACCCATCCCGGGCGACACCAGCCACAAGGCCCAGCAGCTCAGACCACGGGAGTCTGCCAAAGGAGAAAGGACAAGGAGAAACGTGCCTTGGAGGGTGCAGCAGGGCGGGGTGGTGGGGACCAAGAGCAGGGCTCAGCTCTGCGGTCAGGGGCCTCCTGAAGGACCAGGCTGTGGGGCCAGTGGGCCAAAAGGAGCACTGAACTTTCAGTGGGTTGTTCCTTTTTGGTAGGATCATCACAGTGCTCCACGATGTTGCACCGGAGAGGAATGTCAGTGCAAGGACAGGGGAAAGGGCATCTCTGGAGCAAAATCTCAAGCCAGGCCTCAGCCCTGAGCAAGTCGTTCAGATCCCTCCCTCCCTGTCCCAATGGGGCATCAAGGGCAGCCACACTTCTTAGGGTCCAGCTAAAGGGACAATGAAAATACACAGACGTGCATGAAGTGTTTTGCACCTACTTCCAAGAGAACATTTATTGTCCATCTTGTTAGCCAGAATGTCGCTCTGCAGAAAACCTGACCAAGCTGAATTCTCTCTTTTGTTAAACAAAGTACCAAAAACTGAATCTATTTTTCAGCGCAAACCTCCAAAGTACCCCTTAGCTAATGGCTTGGACTGGTGGCTGAGACTGTGGCCTGACGGCAAGGGCTCACGTGCTCCCAGCTCCCCCGTGGGGACGCCAGGCACAGCCTGTGCAGCACGAGGACAGCCTGCCTGCGCCAGCCTCGTGCCTTACCTCCCATGTAGCTGGTGTGCCTGGTGCATTCCTTGTATTGTGCCTGGCACCCCCACGAGCAGACCTGGCTGTAAAATAAGAAGCAAAAACAGGAAGAGTAGTCTCCTTCCCCCGCGGACGTGGGACATGGTCCCCAACTGCAAGTCAAGGAGATGCAAGTCATGTTCACGTGGGCAGTGTCTGCATGGTCTTGGGGGAGGGGAAGAGGTCTGTAGTGGCACACTAAACAGGGAATAAAAGTTTTTGGAAGGGAAGGGGCAAATTCCATCCCGGTCTCAATCCAGTTTGATCAGGAAAAATAACTCAGCAGAAGGAGATGGGATTGTGCTCCTTCCTGGTACTCTTGTTCTCCCAGCTCCTCACTGCCGGAGGGACATCCCTCTCTACTCCCTGAGCCCTGCAGGCTCCAGGCGTTTTGGGGCTGCCAAAGAAGTGTTTTCCCTGGACTCTCCGTGTTTGTAGGGCCCAGGATCTCCCATGGTGGGAGAGGTCTCCTGTTGCTTCCCCAGGGAATCTCCCCAGGCCTGAGAGTTGCAGGGAGAAGAGAGCTGGAGGCATCAGCTAGCTACAGCCCTGGAGGGGTCAGCTGTGGGCCACTGCTCCTCACCTTGGTGTCCTTCTGCAGGTCCCCCTCCAGTGGGATGCCCAGGGGAGCCACCTCGCGGAAGTCAATCACCCAGCTCCTGTTCTTCCGGATGTCGTGGACCAGCATCACCCCACCCCTGCAGTGAGATGGGGGTCACGGCACTGCCTGTCCCTGCAACAGCCACTGCCGTAAAGCCAAAATGAAGTGCCACTGGCACCGGGGCATCGCAGCAGGCCACCAGCCTCAGCAGCAGCCATGGACTGGCCAGCGGTGCAGGGGAAGGCTACTGCCCTTCCCCAGAGAGCAATTCAAGACAACCGAGCCAGGGCCGTTGTGGGACGCAGGCAGACCCTGTGCTGAGCCTGCAGCAAGGCTGGATCAGTCCCTGCCAGCCTGGCCAGAGGGCCACTGGCTCTGTTCCACTGCCAGGCTGGGACTATCTGGGATTTTCTTTCTAATCCGAGCAGTTTTGCAACAAAGCCGGGTTTTTGCTTACAACAGCAATCCACAGCACAGCCTGGAGAAGCTATCAGGTGGCAGCACTTTATGCAACGCTACTGAGACCTCCTGCAGAGCCGAGAGCACCAGGCTCAAGTGGATGCCACCCTGGGGATGAGGGCTGGGAGGAGGCCACCTCTCGCCACCGTGCCTCCCCTGGCTGCTGCCCAGAGCCAGGCTGGGACCTCAGCCTCCTCTTGCAGCTGGAGCAGAGCTTATGGAGGGAAGCGCTCAATCTCTGAAAGCACTGGGACTGAGCCCAGGGTGTTGCAAGCACCTGGCACACTTGCAGAGGGACTCGGCAGCCTGGGGTCACTTTTTCAACCCTCTTGAGCCTGAGGCTTGGACTTCCCTGGCAGCCACTATGGCAGATGCAGCTTTTCCCTCCCCAGGGGTCTCTGTCCCTCACTGTCAGCCTGGTGCACAGGAAGGGTCCCTGTCCCTGTGCAGACATGGACACATCCACCACCTGACGTCAGAAGCCTGGTACCACGCGCCAGGACTCAGGCTATCATGATGGCATGTCTCAGCCGGCGGGGAAACCACCTGCTTGAGGGCAACCACAGATGACAGCACGGGGGTGAACAACCAACACTTACCCGCCAATCCCCGACATGTGGGGGTTGACGATTCCCATGCACAGAGCTGAGACGATGGCCGCGTCTACCGAGGAGCCCTGCTTGTTGAGCACCTCTATGCCCAGCGCCGTGCAGCGGGCAGCATCCGTGACCACGGCGCCGCGGTGGAAGATCTGCCAAAAGAGGAGAGTGGTTGTGCCCAGTGAGGGGTGTTGGGGCCGCCCAGATCCTCACCCCAGCTCTGTGGGACCTAAAGCCTGAGGCCAGCACCAAAGCTGTGGCTGATCCGCATTTTCAGGTGCCTCCAAATGCCGGTGGGAGTAACATGTCCCTTGGCATGTCCCTGCACCAGGGCAGCTCTGGCCCCTGCATGTAGCCGCAGCCATCAGCTCGACCAGCTTTCAATAGCAGGCTCGCTAAGCTGGTGGGCCACGTCCTGCCCTGTCCTCCATAACCCCACAGCAGGCTTAGACTAAACCTCAAGAGCAATGGGTGATGGCGTGCCGTTACTGTGCTGCAGCAATGCGGTCACTGGAAATGGGAATACAGCTGCAAAGGATGCAGCATCCCCCCCAGTACCACAGCTTGTTCTCATCCTTCCCCCGTGCCGGCACTAACGCAGTCACAGGAAGTTTTAAAAAGTTCATTTTAACCTTGTGGCACAAATTGCAGCATCTCAGCATGAGACAGAGTGGCCTTAGGAAGGACAAAGGTGGAAGGGCCACAGCAAGCTGGCAGGCAGGACTGGCCCTTCCAGCTGTGACAAGCAAGGGGCTGCGTTGCACAGCCTCCCTCTGGCGCTGCACCCCAGCCTGCCGTGGGGCCAATTTTTTAAAGCCAGTGAAAGCACAATAAATTAAAAACGTGGGACAGATTAGCAGGACGAGGTTCAGCTCTGTTTTCAGCTATTCCCCTGCTTGGCCCCAGACAGATCCTTCCAGAGGTGAGCCTGGGCACACAGACCCATAAAACTCTCTGCAAGTGGAGATGGATGGAAGATGCCTACTGCTTAACTAAGGATTGCTTTCTGTAGGCATTGACATCTGATGCAAACCACAGCTAGAGACACAGGAGTGGGGCTGCCCATTTGCCCCTGGCAGCACCCCCAAACCTGCCAGGCACAGCCACCCACACCCCGACTGCGGGGCAGGCACCGAGAGCCCAGCTCGCCTCTCTGAGCACAACCCCCAGCCGCAGGAAAAAGCTTTTGAGACAACGTGGGGTGGAAATGCAGAGACTCAGCACCCAGGGTCTCACTGACAACTGCTGGGGCTCACCAGCACTCACCCCGCTGAACTGCTGGCAAGGAGGAAAGTTAGGGAGCTTCTCCCACTTTCGGAGCCAAAGCCCGACTGCAAAGCCACTGCTTTGTCTTACCTGAGGGTCCCCAAAATAGATCTGCATGATCAGGGCCACCGTGACCCCTGTGGCAAAGGTGAGGCAGGCAGTGATGATGACAGTCAGCCCATCCTGCCGGCAGCTGCAGTCTCCAGAAAAAGGGTCCTTGCTGGTCTCCTGGAGAGGGGACACATCCTGGCTTCCCATCTCCGATGAGGACGAGGGCAGGCGCTGGAGACGCGCAGACTTCAGGAAGGAGTCTGTGTCTTTGTGGGCAGCAGGGAGAAAACAAGTGTTAGTTGTTGAGCAAGATGGGGCTCTTATTGCAGTGTTTACCCAGCGCTAACATTACACCGCACCCCTCCAGCAAGGCTATTGCCTTCCCTATCAATCCCAGCTCTCAAGAAACTTTCTGGCTCAGATGCTGCTTTAGGCCATTTTACTGATCCCTAGTTATTCCAAACCTGCAGATTAAGAGGGGCAAAAAATCCCCTGAATTTTGCTCCATTTTGGCCCATCCCTCAGCCTTCAGTGATGGGCGCGCAATTACTGCTCCATTTGGAGGGGTTCCTAACACAGCACTGACTAGCAAACAGGTCTCCAAAATGCAGCAGGACTGCAGAAGAGATTTAAGATTAAGATTTAAAAAAACCCAACCCCAACCCCAGAAGCCTTATTTGGAGCTATGCTTGAGCTAAAGCACCTGAGCGAAATGGAGGCGAAGCGAAACATGTGGCCTGGGCACAGGGAATGCCCCTACAGAAGCACGGCAAAGTGAGGGCAGAGAGGAGCAAACCTGCAAATCGGAGGCCCTTGGGGCGTCCACCCGCTCTGGTGGCAGGAAAGGCTCTACTTTAATTTCTAGCTTCCTCCAGCTGACGAGGCCCACTGTAAAATCAAGCCGCTCGCCAAATGCCCGGCTCCGAGACGGCAAATGCAACAGGGCAGGGTTTTGCTGGGCACCCGCCAGATGGCAGGATGAGGGAGTCTCTCTTTTGCTCTGAAGGATGCCTGGAATCCATCACTGCTTGCGTCAGCTGCTGCCCCTGTGGCGGGGAGGCCGCCGGCTGAGCGTGCCCTGCCTCTGCACAGGCGCTGCCAGGCACACGGAGCGGCTGGTGCAGCCGCGGGGACATGCCCATCCCTGCCAGGCACTGAACGGGACCAAGTGGCCCAGGGCACCATCCAGGGCTCCTGGATAAATTTTTTGGGGGGCTGCCGAGAGCCAGCAGGGGCTGCAGTGCCTCATGTGTCCCCGGTGGAAAGAAGAGGAGGGGACACGAACATCCAGGGAGCAACTGTGGGAGAGGACAGGCCATGGCCCTCCAGGGTGGCCTCTCCCACCCACGCAACAACCCCTTTGTTGTCCGCCACAGACATCCCGCACGTCCTCGAGCAAGTCACTCGGTCTCTGCAACTGCTGGTACTGCGTGGGGACAGCAGGGCCGTGGTTTGGGGATGGGAGCAGCTGGAAGGGGTCAGTCAGGGGCACGGAGCAGCCTGTGAGGCCAACACACAGGTGCCCCATCCAACCATCAACGCCCACGCTTGAAAGAGACCCACCAGACCCTACTTGGCTTCCATGGGGACCCAGCACTTTGGGGAACCAGGGCCATCTCAGCTGGGGAGCCACCGCAGAAGGGACAACAGAGA